GTGGTTGAGTCACCATCCCTGAATGTGTTTAAAAACTACTTGGATGTGGTGCTCAGGGACATGATTTAGTGGAGGGTTGTTAGAGTTAGGGTAGTATGGTTGGGTTGTGGTTGGACTCGATGATCCTTAAGGTCTTTTCCAACCTGAGCAACTCTATGATTTGGTGATGCTAAGTAGTGGTTTGCTAGTTACAAGAACTTTCCTAGCAATATGGAAACAAGGACGTCGCGTCTGGTTTCTTCACCATACAAGAATGCTCTGATTTTCCACAAGAAATGGATCGCTGTGAATCTCTTCTAGTGCCCACTGGAATAATGCTTCCTCTATCTTCAAACACTGCGACCTGTGACCTTAGTTATATACTCTCATTCTTTCTTTTCATAACTTATTTTCATTTTAGTCACTTTTAGCTCTTTGTCTCTTGTATTTCAGTGGAGGGGCACAACTGATCGATTTGGTGCAATACACAGCTTCTTGTCCTTTCAGAAGTCAGTGAATTATTTGTCTTTAAAGCTATTCTGTGATATAATTCCAGGGTGCATTTTAAACCTAAATTTGATTGTGGCAGCGGTCATTTGTGTGTTTCATTTCCTTCACATGCTGATCTGTCAGACAACATGGTGTCTCTCGCTGGCCCCACATTCACAGAATTTGTTAGCTTTACATTGCAACAAATGAAAAAATAGATTCACCTTTATGCTGACCCTTGCCATTAGCTTTCAGACTCAATCCAACTGCGAACTGTTTGGGGGTCATAGTGCCCTTTTATGAGGGAGCATTTACTATTTGTAATCTCTGGAAATAGTTCTCATTTAGTGTTTTTCAGGAACAATTTGGTTACTCATTCTCAAATATTTAAAATAATCATTTGTTTTTGTGCCATGCATGATGTGATTTGCATTAAAACAACACCTACATACCTTTGTGAGCAGTTTTTCAGAGTTTACACATTATTCTTCCTGTGCTGCATCGAAAACAACTTTCAATGATTTCACAGCAGTCCTAAGAAGGGCAGACTTGATGTCTGCTCTTCTTCAGACATCTTATTAAAACACTAATTAGGATCATCATCAATAGACAAGAAAGTATTTCTTAATAGGAATCAAATACCAACACTGGCCAGCCATTTCTTATTGGCCTGTTTTCTGTTAATGCATGATGATGATGATGATGATGATTAATGAGAATGGATAACACTCTTATTTCATGTTCCAGTTCATTTGAAGAGATAATATTTTTACAATACAGAACTGCTTCAAGTGAGCTCTGTGGATTGGATCCCTGGTTGTCGCACATCACTGACATTCAGCACGTTGAAAAGTTACAACTTAAGGGTGGTATTTGGTGAAAAAGGCGCTACATCTCAAGAGATCAGCCCCTCAATTAGTTCAGATGGGAATGTAAGGTGTTTAACTCTGCTTCAAATAGCATTTTGATGGATCGTGTAAATATTTTGTCTTTTCAAAGGCAGAAGACTGATTCACAGGGGACTCAAATAACCTGTTTCCATGCATTAAACCAGTAGTTGGCCTAGTTCAAAATTCAAACCTCTTCATCCCACATGTATATCCTGCTGACTGTTCCACCCTTTCATTATAACGCAAGGCAGAATAACCATACTGCAGATTTCTTTTCGGAACAAAAGTTGGTTAAAAAAGCTATCACAAATTTTAGAAAACCTTGTCCTCCAAGGACAAGTCTCTCAGAACTTCACTAGCGGGATCATCACAAAACAGTGATAGAAAGGCAGTAAATATCGATACCTATTTGACTTCTCATACTCGAGACATTTATAAGATGCTTCTTAGCAAGGCAGGTGCTGGAAGCCAATTTGAAATTAATATTGCTATAAGCAAATGACTTTAAATTTGTTGTTTATTCCTCGCCAATTTTGTGAGAGCATAATTTAATGAGATGCCTGTCAAATTTTTGCTTTTACAAACTAGTAAAGTAACACTGACAGACTGCATCTGCTTCTTTTACTTTCATTCTACCTGAATATTTCATTCTACCAACTGAATATTTGGGACTATTTTCATGCCTTGTAGCTGTTTGCTTAGGATAGAGAAGTATTTTGGAACTGTGGCATTTGAGAGGAAGGGTCTAGGCATTTTGAGAAAGATCCAGTTTTGTCTTTACCATGGACACATCGATTTCTGTTGTCACTATGAGGCACAAATATGTCAGGTTTGTGGGTCTGTTTGCATGTATCTTAACACTGCTATTTGCTCCAGAGCTTATTTCTGCAAACTTGCAGTGCATGAAAGCATTTATTGTACCCACTGTAGACGGTTTATGTGCTGGTTGACCCAGTTCCATGACTAATGAGGCAGGGGGACCCACCCCACGGATCCACGCCTTGGGAAAAGGGGAAAAGGAGAAAGGGTAAGGAGATGGGCCTAAAAACAAAGCAGCAGCAACAATTTGAGGAGGAAAGATAATTTACTAAATAAAAGGTATCAGAATGCAAGATAACACAATACAGAGTCACAGAATTGTAGAGGCCAGAAGGGACTTCTAGAGATCATCAAGTCCAGCTCCCCTGCAAAGCAGGAGATACAATACAATGTAATTGGAATTGAAGTTAATAATTCAAATAAAATGAGAGAGTGTCCAAAACCAAAGGCCTTATTCTAATGCTGAAGGTGAGATGGCTAGGGACCATGCACTGCAGAGTTGAGCAGAAAGGGAAAAGGGAACATCTTGCGACCTGTGTACAGTTTTCTTTTTAACCTCTAATGGAAAATGGAAACAGAACAGCGAACAGTCCTCTGGGATATGTCATTCTCCTTCTCTTCTGAGACAGGTATACCAGGAACTATGCAGATCCTCAGCATTAACACCTTAACTCCCAGTGCAGTACACAATCTCATGATGTGGAATTACAATAACAAAAATCATGAAACTATGACACAACTCTGGAAATTCCTCATTAACAATAACAGGAACGGCTAAGTAAAATCTTGACCTTCAGATTTACATTCACACGTGTTATATGTGCTATCACAAGGAGTTTAGAAATGCACTTAACATAAAATTACTGAAGCAAGCTGAAGTATATTTTTCATTTGTCAAGCTCAGGACTTTTCTTTACCAGGTCATTGAGCCTGATCATTTCCCAAATAAGATGTTTTAACTATCCAACTCTGCATTTGAACTCACTCGCTCAAGTATTTCCTAAAATGTAGGGAAAAAAAAAAAAAAGAGAAGCTTGATCGCAAGACAGCTTAGCATTTCATTAAATTCTGCAGATCTAATACCACAGATAGTATAAATTGTATAAAAGAGCTTATTTCTATGGCCCCATAAACAACAGCAGCATTGGAGTAAAATATAAGAGCTAATTAAATGTTTCTGCTGAATTATCTTACTGTAGTGGGTAGGAAAAGAAGGAAAGAAGGAAAGAAGGAAAGAAGGAAAGAAGGAAAGAAGGAAAGAAGGAAAGAAGGAAAGAAAGAAAGAAAGAAAGAAGGAAAGAAAGAAAGAAAGAAAGAAAGAAAGAAAGAAAGAAAGAAAGAAAGAAAGAAAGAAAGAAAGAAAGAAAGAAAGAATGAAAGAAGGAAAGAAGGAAAGAAGGAAAGAAGGAAAGAAGGAAAGAAGGAAAGAAGGAAAGAAAGAAAGAAAGAAAGAAGGAAAGAAAGAAAGAAAGAAAGAAAGAAAGAAAGAAAGAAAGAAAGAGAGAAAGAGAGAAAG